TTGTTGTGGTGGTGTCAAACACTCTAGCAGGATGTTATCTTTAAAGAGTTTAACTTTTAGCCCCCTTCCTATTTTCAGAAATTTATCCCAAGGAAATACAGTTGACTCTTCAACGAGATGGGTTTAAACTGTCCTTATCTATAGATCTTTTTCAGTATACTGGACAATTTTTGCAGATTTCCTTACTACTGTGCAGCAATCATTTCAATTACACTGGGATAACCAAAGCAATCATAATGCTGCTTCCTCATTATCAATGCATGAATCAGTATATCTGTAAATAAATGAATTTTTCACATTATCTTTTCATTTTTGATGTCTAGTGTTAATAATATGTATATCATCTACAGTGTTTTGTAGCACATAAAACAGTATTAATGTAGGTACTGACAGATGATGGATCTTGTAAACAAATGACCTACATTTACGCTATCAATAAATACAGTACTGTCAATGTGTTTTTCTTCTTCCCTATGACTTTCTTTTTTTTTTTTAAAAAATATATTTTATTTTTCTAGTTTACTATAAGAATACGTATGTAATATATATAACATGCAAAATATGTGTTAATAACTGTCTATGTTAGAAGCGAGGCTTCTGGCCTTGGCTGGGAAGCTCAGTTGGTTCGTGTCATCCCCATATGCCATGGTTCCAGGTTCCATCCCTGGTCAGAGCACACAGAAGAATCAACCAATGCCCTGGCCGGTGTGGCTCAATTGCTTGAGTTTCATCCCATGCACCAAAAGGTCGCTGGTTCAGTTCCTGGTCAGGGCACATGCCTGGGTTGTGGGCTTGATCCACAGTAGGGGGTGTGCAGGAGTCAGTTGGTGGATGTTTCTCACATCATGTTTCTCTCCCTCTCTTACTTTCCCTTCCTCTCTCTCTAAAAAGTCAATAAAAATATTTTTTAAAGAAAAGAAAAAAAGAATCAACCAATGAATGCATAAATAAGTAGAACAACAAATTGATGTTTCTCTCCCTCCCCCTCTCTGTAAAATCAATAAACAATTTTTTTAAAGTAAAGTTTCCAATCAACAGCAGACTATTAGTGCTTAAGTTTTGGGGGAGTCAAAAGTTACACATGGATTTTAGACTATGTGGAGGGTCAGCTCCCCTAATCCCTGTGTTGTTGAAGGGTCAACTGTAATATAAAAGGTTACATGCAAAAAGATGACCACTGCAAAAGTCTTTGAAATACTGAAAAACTGGAAATAATCTACATGCCCAACAACAGGAGAGTAAATGTAGATCCGTGAGTTTTGGAACCATAAAAGATTATGAAACCACAAAGAAACATGGAAAATATTTATTTTATTCTTCATCTAATTCTAAAAGGAGGTAATTCAACAAGTAGAATGATAACTGTACTTTTTATCTCAAGTATAATCAATTAAAAATTAAATACTTACATAAAATATTTACATAAAATCCAGAAGATAAAAATTTAAAAATGAAGGCATTTTAGAAACATTTAGGTTGAGAAAGTCTTTTTCTTCCACTTTGAGTTCTCTTATATTAAGAGATGCAATAAGGAGTTGTTTAGAATGAACTTTCTTTATTGGTACTGAGAAGAGTTTAAATGAGTCAAGTGACCTTTAATGCATCACGATAACATGTATAATCAAATGAAAGACACAAGGTATCCCTAGTTACACAATAACTCTCAGCGATACAACGATGTATACCAATCAGTCCTTGACTTCTCGGGACTTGGGAGCCAGTGGAGGAACTCTGACATATACATGGCATATCTTGACACTGCTCCGCCTCCAAAATCTTTAACATCCCATCTCATCCCAGCACTGTTTTCTTCCCAGCTTTCATGGCACTTGCTCCTTACCATCATTAGGACTGCCAGCCTACTGGCCCCTGTGTTTTCGTCTGACCCACCAGCTAGGTTTTATTTTCTTTGTCATTCAACTGAGGCCTATCATTTTAGCCACCCCCTCCACAAGAACCAAAATATTTTGAACATTTACCTTTCCAATCCACCTGCCCTGAAAACCCCCACCTGCTGGACACAGCCAGTCATTTGCCATCTCACAGCCGACAAAGCCACCTCCATGTGTCCCTGGCCAGTTCCCTCTCTTCCTCCTTGCAGTCTTCCCTCTACCTCACACTTGCCTTGCCTTCCCCTCCCCCAATGCCTTTTCCAGCACAGGAAGGAATTCTTAAATGAAAACTTTCTTTCCTCGAGCCAAACCCAAAGCCCAGTGCATTCTGCATCCATCCTTACTCCCTGCCCTCCAACTTCAGAGGTGAGGTGACCTTTCCTCACCGGGACCCAGCAGCCCCTGCCTGCTCTGGCCTTTGTAATCTATGAGCCTGTCACCCCTGTCTTCAACTGTGCCTCAGAATAAACTTGTCTACCATCTACAAGGAAGCTTTTCCTCTAAGACGCATACTCTTCTAAGTAATTAACATTTGCCTCTCCTCACCCCTCCCACACATTTTAAAAAACAGACATCCTACCTTGGCTGTCCCCACTTCTCTCTCCCTCACCTGATACAGAATGGCTCCTCCCAACCCTCCACCAGACTGTTCCCACAGAATTCAAACCCAATGTCCCTTTTCATTTCTTATCTCACTTGAACCCTCAGCTGTGTTTCACCCTGTTGACCATTCCCTGTCATTTGGCTTTTGGGACCCTCTGGTGTTACCCTACTTAACAGGATGAATAAACTTCAGGCCACCCAGGGAGGAGAGAGCTGGACAGGCAGGCTCTCAGCTCAAGAGGGAAGCTTGCCCTTTGCGGGGAGTGGTAGGGTGGTAGCTATTAGAGGTAAGATCTATTAGGTGAAGTTTTGAGACTGGAATTCCTTCTAGAGACTAGTTTTGTAGACTCCATGTCAAGCTGACGAATGATTCAATGATTTGAGGTGGCTGGAACTCAACCACAACGATACAGAGAACTGTTTATTCTTTTATCTTACTGGGAAAAAAAAGAAAGTGCAGTGGAGACTAGATCACACTGTAGGAACCTGTTGACAATGTTGGCATTTCCCTCTCTTGGGGTGTGATTAGAAGTGAGGGAAGTGGAATTCAAATCCTCTGGGTCTCCCCCAGGAATCTCTTAACAGTTAAAGCTTCCAAACTGTATTCATTCCATTCAATGAAATGGAATGAAATTTTCATTATTAAAATAGTATTACTTTTTAGTTTTAGTACCATTCTTGAAGTACAATTTGGTACTTGATTACATGGTATCTATTGGCTATTTTGATTCTTTCTTACTCCTGAGTAATATGTCCCTTATCGGACTGCAAAGGCCTTGAGGTCAAGGGTCCTTTTTAGTCTCATTCTCTTCTGTCTCTTCCACATTGTTTAGACACTTGGAAGATGCTAGAAAAAAATAAAAATAAAATAAAATCCTGCTGTTTAATTTAGCAAGTATTTTAACTTTTCATATTTCAAGGGGTTTTGAATGACTCTTGAATGCAGTAGATTATTCTGAGTGCAGACGTGCAATATAGAAAATATTTGTTATTTGCATCTCATGAACTGCAGGGGAGGCAGGAAGACCTCAACACCTCGGGAGGATTTAGCACAAAGTTGAAGTGGCCTGACACCCCCTGTGTATATTGTACCAACCAGATATAAAAGCCAGAATCCCAAGCAATGTTCAGAGCTAATTTGGCCTCACTTTATAATAAGCCCTATAAAGCCTTGTAGTTCAGATTCAGTTCCTTAGGCCAAACACTCCAAGGTCCTTACTGTGGACAGCAGCTAGCTCTTTTGGGAACTTGGATCAGGCCTTCTGCAAATAATCAGATCAATAATCTGAAAAGAAATAGATTAGACAGAGAAGAAGGGAGGGAGAGAGAGAAAAACATCAATGTGAGATTGAAACATCAATTGGTTGCCTCTCATACTCCATGGGGGATTGAACCCTCAACTTAGGTATGTGCCCTGACCTGGAATCCAACAACAACCTTTTTGGTGTATGGGATGATGCTCCCTCCAACCATCCACCTGGCCAGGACTAATTTTTCAAAATCTTTTTTAAAAAATATATTTTATTGATTTCAGAAAAGAAGGGAGAGGGAGAGAGAGAAAATTCAATGCTGAGAGGGAATCACGGATCAGCTGCCTCCCACACACCCCACACTGGGGATCAAGTCTGCAGCCCAGGCATGTGCCCTGACTGAATGGAACAGTGACCTCCCGGCTCATAGGTCAGTGCTCAACCACTGAGTCCCGCCAGCCAGGCAGGTCTGATTTTCTTTTTAAAGCCATTTTATTTTTAGAGAACTTTCCACTTTTCTTAGTTATACAGTCAGGTTGGGGCACCTGCCAGAAAATCATTTTCCCTTTAAAAAAAAATATGCTAGAACGTGAATGCAGCCATTGAATCCAAAACAGATTTCCCACAGTGTAATCCGCTGGGCATTACAATTTGTGGCTGAAAGCTGACTGAAACGGAGGATCTAGAGTTACTTCTCCCTTCCCCCC